TGCTACCTCCCTTTGATAAACACTACTTGTATTTTATTTTATTTTTCATTTGTTTTCCTTTCTGCACTTACTCATCTATTCTTCTAAAGCCTTTTATACCACTTTATCAGTTAATTTTTTCTGTAGTTTTTTAAATTTTGTCTTTAAAGTTTTTTGGGAAGATCTGCCCTTTAAATTGTAAAAAAAAAAAAAAAAAAAAATAAAACCAAATATACTAACTAACCATTACAAAGCCCCTAAAATTAAATGGGAGAATTTCCTTCTCATTGTATCAGAAGAAAAAGATTTGATGCTTTCATGTTCAGTAAAATCTTAGAAAAAAAGCACTGACCAAACCTGGATCTTTGAAACAAATAAGAGTTAAATTTGCGTTAGCCAAGTACTTTCCATTATGCCAAATACCTAATTTCTTTATTTTAAATTTAACCTATAAATTTAAAATATCAAATTCTACTTCATCTACACATGTGAATGTAACTGAATGCCTATTATTTTAATGAGTATAATAAGGATCTGAGGATAATGGAAATCAGAAAAATTGGATACCCTGGCCAAGAAATTGAAAGAGTTCATTATACTAAAGGGATCTCTCTTGCTCTTTTGAAATTACATGGAAGTCTTCTAAATTTGAAAGAGAGAAAGAACAAAATCACATACTTTACACTAAGTACTGTAGACTACATTCAGTGAAAAGCACCCCTGTGCCATTTTTTGACTAAGGATTTCACAGTTACAGACATCCCTTTAAACAAGCTATTCAGCAGTCCTGAACTTAACAAACCAGACAGGAAAGTGTCTTTGTTTTCACTGAATTTCTTTGTATTTGTGATCTGCATAAATATCTTTTTGTAGCCAAGCTACTTGCACATTACAGAAAGACAACTCTGGAGGGTTCTCCATGTCACTGCTGCTGGTTGGGAGTCTCCGTGTTGGGGTGGAGTTGGTGTGTTCATATTGGAAAACTGCCACTGCACAGACCACTGCCAAAAAGTGATTTGTGGAGCAGTTTGAGCCTCACCACTAGAAGATTCACCCTTAGCTACATCATAAAGCTACTCTTCATACCCAAACACACTCTTGGGGATGCTCAGAGGCAGGAGAATGAACAAGCTGAGGTGACACACTTGAGGACAGCCTTTCCTTAGAAAACTCTCTGTCTGTGTGGTGTTGTTTCTCTGCCTAGAAAACAACACAGGGCTCAAGAGGGGACATAATATGATCAGTAATGGCGACAAAATTTTAGAACTTCTGGACACCATCTGGATCTTCAGAGAACCTGAATTTCATTTTCTCCTCTTGCTGCAGCTACAATATTTGATGCTGGAGAGTTGGACAGTAGCATCACTGTGCTGCTTCTCAAAGGATGGCGCTGCAGCCACATGTTTCCTGGAGCGTGCCCAAGGTCTGAAATCCCATTGTCATGAGCAGGACACATACTGTATGCCTCACTCAGGCTTGGAACCTTCTTTGTCATTTTCTATCTGATCATTGAGAAAGGCTTAGTAAGACCAAGTGTGTTAATAGTTACTGATACTAAAATAATGATATTTTAATTTTCTCCAGTATAAAAGATCCAAACTGCACATACATTAGTCACAATCTTTCTTTCCTGGAAACCCTTTCTAAAATCTATTTCCAAGGCTTGATGGAATCTTTCCTTAAATATTTGGACTGCAGGAAAAAAAACCCCAACCAACCAACCTAACAAAATGCAGGATGACAGTGGAGAGTGCCTTTGGGAGATTTAGGAATATCTGATGAAGACCTAGTGTCTCTGAAAAGTGTGAACACCTAGGATGAGCACTCCTTTGGCAATGAGACTTAGTAGAGCATTCCACATAAACTCTCTGCAGTCTGGAAAGCAGGGCTCAAAACACAAGAAACAGCTTGAGCAGCTCAAGAGACAGACAGGCTTGCAAGAGGCACGTTGTTCAGGGTGGCTTGTACACATGCTTTGAGCGAAACCCTTCAAAACTTTTCATGCAGTTTAGGTATTTCTGGCAACTCTATGTTATGCATTATGTGAGCAATAATTGTTAGATAATTGAACAAAAGAAAACTTCTTTTAAACAATGAAAGCAATGGATTTGGAGACTTTATACACAGAACATGAAGAAGATTTGTGAGTAAAATACCAATTTTCAAAGCATCTTGAACTACATCAACAATTTAAATAAGACTTGAGCTCAAAGAGGATTGTTGTCATTACTTCTGTATGGAAACTCTAAATCACCCATTTACTGCCAGCACTGTATTAGAGGGTTCCAAACAGACAGATGGCCAGGCAGCAAGCAATTGTTACTTATAGCTCTACTGGCATGTACCTTTCCTCGGCAGGAAGACTCTTCCAACAACTGGAACTGAGGAAAAGCTTTTGGGTCCTGAATGTGTTGTGAGAGGAGAGAACTTGCTGTACCTTGGCACTGCCTGCCATTGTGTCCATTGCCCATCGCTGAACTTTCTATTTCCACTTTTACTGCCCTCTGAGGAACACCCAGGCTCAGCTGATACAAAATATTTATTTCAGTCAAAATGCATTTACTTCTCTACCTCCTCTATTGTGATGAATTTCTGTCCATATTTGGGCTCCATTCTCTCTGTGTGTTTGCAGTCCTGTGCTCATGGATACCTCCATAAAATTTTTCCTTTTAATTTGACAGTCCCTTCTTTGAAATGTCATCAAATCAACTCTGTCTAAATGTATATGACTCCTTTGCTCTTACATAAACCTATCTCTTCTTTGTTGATTAAGAGTATGAGTCTCATTTGTATTTACCTCTATATATCAACAGCTGTTCTAGTTTCATTCTTCTTCTTCTTTATTTCTCTTCTACATCCGCTGTAACAGAGAACTGAACTGTGATAGGTTCTGTTCTGTTCTGTGATTGATAGAACTTGAACCATAATTTCTGGACTGCCATCAAGAATTTGCTTTCTTCTTATGGAAAAAGAAGCACTTAGCTATATATAAACAAAAATATTAGTATTTGATGCATCTCCTTCATCTACTGTCTAATTCATATCAAAGAGTCACAGGGAGCAGCAACAGAGGAAATGGTTAAGAAATAACTGACGATATTTCTTTTCACCTAAAAATGTTGATTAATTGAAAACAAAACATCGCAAAAATCTGACTGTGTACAATCTTCTGATAGAACAGATGTAAGTTTCAAAATTTCTTTGCTAGTTCTAGCATATGTGGACTATTAATATTTAAGATATTCGTTTCTGTCATTCCACAGAAGGAATAATGATGACAGTTCCCAAGACTGTTTCTACACAGAACGTTAACAGTAATTTGTTAATTGGTTTCCCAGGCTACTCAGCTTCAACAGCCTAATGAATTATTTGCTGGAAGAATTAAACACTGGGGTTTGGTGTCTGGCAACTCTTGTGTCCTCAGCTGCTGGGGCAGCCCAGCTGGGGCACAGCCTGCCTGGTGGCTGCTCCGCACAGGGACTGCCCTGGGGTTTATTGCTGATGAACCTGATGAGCCTTGGCACGTATTAATTCCACTCATGAGAACGACTGCTCTCTTAGCGGGACGCCAGTCATCACAAAGAGCAAGAAGGAACTTCTAAAGATAGAAGACTGGAAGGATTTTCCAAAGCCTTGCAGTAATGATAAAACATCAGCTTCTCGTGAATGATAAAATAAATGGTTGTGAGACTGTTATTTTGGAAAGACCTATAGCTCTTAAGAAATTGTGAGGAGCAGATCCAGACTGCCTGTGTCAACCAAGAGCCTGAAGAGGAATCTCGGACACCGGTCTCAGGAGACAGAGGGGCTGCACTGTGCAATTCTCTGTGTCAGGAGTTTTGACCTGAGAGCTTGCCCGGGAATCTCAGAGCTAATGGCATAACCAGTCTCCTCTGCAAACCAGCTGTGTCAGTAGATGCAATCTGGCCTTTCAGTCCACCTGTCACACACAGATCAAAGTCAATCCAAAGAGGTACTATTTTCTGCAACAATGAGAATATTTTCATTACCTGACAATATACCATATATATATACCATCCTACAAGTTTTTCTTTCTACATTAATGTTTCCCTCTGCTCTAAGCATGCAAGTTATAATACTGTTTATTAGTTTGTAGTACGTCTTTTTTATTACACCAAAGATGTTATAATCAGGTATTTCTTCTTAATATAGGAAAATTTTTGCATACACATTAAAAAATTAAAATTCTCTTTAGCTTTTCTCATAGAAGTGTCCTTGCTTTTCTTGTAGCTGGTTTTTTGGAGGGCTATTTAGGAGAGTTTTATGCTGCCTCCTCAATTCCTTTTAGTACATAATACTTACATTACAACACATATTAAGTCAATGGAAAGGCAACCGTAATATATTCCCTTTTTCAGCTAAAAGCAAATATATAAACGCTTCTTTTTCTGTAACGCAAGGGATGTGCTAACATGTCACTTAAATGTGTACTTTCTATGCCTCGTGAGGCAAAACCCGGATCCATGCCTGGTGTAAACTGCCAGGGAATATCATGGAGTTGCCTTAAACTCTTAGTTTAAGGAAAAAACTCGGAAAAAGAAGAGTTGTGGAAAAGAAAGATTTAGTAACACAGCTGTTGCTCTACACAGCGGTGAAAACGGACCCTGCCAGGGATCACTTCACTCACCCCTCAGTGTTTTTCGTGCGTGCCTGGCTTGAGGGGTCTGTGTTCGATGATCTTACTGCTTTCCCCGGTAAAAGGCACCCGGGGCGGGCACCGATGCGCTGCCGGGACGGGCACCCAGGCTCCCTGGGAGTGAATCACGGGAAGCGGGGGCTCTCCGGCACCTGGGAGCGGGCAGCGAGGGGTAAGCAGCATCCAGTGCCCGGCAGCAGCCCGGGGTGGCGGTGGGCACCTGCGGGCGCAGCCATGGGCGGGGGGCGTCCCGGCTCGGGGCACGGATTCGCACCTCTTGTGGGGGGAGCGCCGGCGGCAGCGAGAGGGAGGAGGAGAAAAGGAAGGCGAGGAGAGGGGCTGGGGAGACACGGGCGGGCGGGCAGGAGCCGGGGGCTAGAGGAGGAGCTCCGCGCAGAGCGGCGGCGGGCACGGCCGCGGTCGGGCCGGGAGCTGCGGCGCCGGAGCGGGGCAGGTGCGGAGCGGGCAGCGGCCCCGGGCCCTATGGTGCCGGGCGGGACCCGGACCCCGCTCCCCGCCTTCCAACGGGGCCCGCGGAGCGCCTTCGCACGGGCACTCGCTGGGCATGAGGGCGCTGCCGATCCTGCTGCTCTCGCTCTGCTGGAGCCTGCCCCGGGTAAGTCCCGCCGTGATCTGTGAGGGAGCGCCCGCTGCGATCTGTGAGGGAGCTCTCGCTGCGCTCCGGGCCGGGCTGCCCGCACGGCGCTCACCGGAGCAGCCGGAGCGGAGCCCCCGCGCTGTTCCGCAGCCCCGGGGCGGGGGCTCGGCGCGGCAGGTGCGGAGGCCCCTGAGCACACGCTCCGGGACGGCGCTGCCTCCCGCCGCTGTCCCCGGGCGGGGAGGGCGAGGGGAGCGGGCGCGCAGCCCCCGGCCGGACCCCGGGCGCTCCCCCGGCGCTCCCCGCCGCATCCCCGGGAGCTCCGCTCCGCCCGGCACCGTCCCATCCCCGCGGAGCTGCCGCTTGAGCCCCGCAGTTTCCCCCGTAGCCCGTGGACACCGCTGGTTTGAGAAGTGAAGAGTTTTCACCGAGCGGTCCAGAAGCCGCTGCCCGTCATCGTGGGGAAAAGCTTCACATCCACAACTGCTCTGTAATATGTACAATGGGATTGCGATGTACGAGTAGTCAGAATATTGAAGTCTTCTTTAGGGAGACTGCTTTTATGATCTGTATATTTTCACGCGTTTCTTAAGTAAAAGTCAGTTATATTGATGGAAATATGATACACACAAAGAAAAAATTTTAAGCCTTTTAAATTTTTTGTTACTGTGTAACACTGAAAGTCGGGAAACCATACTGAAGGTGAGTGCAAGCTGCTTGTCAGAGGAAATGTTTATTCATCAAATTGCTGGTCTAGGTGCTTTAGAAATTGTTAAAATGCAGAGATACTGCTGAGTTGGGTTTCCAGCTCGGTGTGCGCCTTTACATGCGGTTTGTATTCATTGGTGATGAAGGATAACCCACCGTTGGTTAAGCAGAGGGAAAGATGCATGAGCACAAGTCCTAAAAAGTGGTGAGTGCCCTCAAAATCTTGATGTGTTTCGGGAGGTGGTCAGAGCCACAAAGTCTGGAACCCTAAATCTCTTTAGCTTTGTGAAGTCTGTCTGAATGAACTGGATGCATTAGAACATAGTACAGTACAGTTTAGCATGTAGCCCAGCTGTGAAAAGCAATATGCTACCTTTGGGTAATAAATTTTTAAACAAAACTTTACTATTAATCACTGATATTTTGGAGGTACCAGAAAGTGAAGTTGTTAATTCAGTAGGCTTCTTAATTTAGCTAGTTTAGCTAGTAGCTAGTTTGATTTATCCTTCATTTATTTAACATTTTTGTTTACTGAACCTTCCTTTCCAAGACCCAGTAATTGTAAGAGTTCTTGGTGAGTAAGAAAACCACTGTCAAGTTACGGAATGTTAGCACTTGGAAATGAAAAGTAGCCCAAAATAAGTTTTGTGAAAGGAAAGTGCTATTAAAAAATATTATGTATACATGGGACTTTTATTTTACATGGCCACTGTCTGCGAAAAAAGATTATACATACCAAAATTTTCAGTATAATGCTGTACTTTGAATTACAAATTCTAGAAATCCTAATATATGTTAAATATGTATCTCTGAAAGAAAAAGAATTCTGCACTTGAAACATGTAATTCCAATACTCAACTTCGAGAAAAGACATGGAAAAGGAAGTCAGGTTCTGATGTTGTGAAATGAGACATTTGGAGAAGAGACAGATTTGTGTGAGTTTGCATAACAGCCCCTGCTGTTATGCTTATGGCTCTTGTGCTGTATTTTTAAAAGCTGTGCAAGTGGTTTGTCCACAAAGAGACTGCAGCATCACAAGGTTCTCAGTCCTAACTCTGGATCTGATGTTCTGGGCCCAGAATCACAACTTAATTAATTGTTAATATTTTTTAAAAATTGCTGTGTCATGCATCAGAGATCATTACCAGATTGTGTTATTAAACATCTCCTAAAAGATGTGAAAGAAAAGACAGACACTTGGAGAGAGACCACCTTTTTCTTGGTAACCACAAGCGTGAGGTGTAAGGATGACTGAAGTACTCATTTTATTTTATTAAGATGTGATTTCATTTGAGCTAATCAAACTGTCCCATCAGCTCCATTGATGTTTCCAGCTTTTCCATTTGCCATCTCCTGCAGTAATTTCTCCCATGCAGTCTCTTTCAGACTCCGTGTGTTTCTCTGTGAGGCTCTGACTGCCTCTCTGAATTGAGCTGACCCCAGCACAACTTTCCAGGGTCTTGTTTCTCTCTCCAGTACTGCTGCATTCCTGTCTCTTCCTGTGGACATACATAAACTTTTCTGAAAACCAAAGAACCGAGGGTAGGGCTTTGAACCAGTAAAGGCATTAGTGCTTTAGTTTTTACATAGTGGGGTTTTCTTCCTGTGTAGCATTTGCTTGAATCAAATAATCATGGTCTGGGGCCTTCAGGAGATAAAATATACATGGTGGAAAAGGGAAGGAAAGCAGAATCTACCAAGTCAAAGAGAATGAAATTTGATCAATTTTCATGTTCTGTGATTTGTACTAAACTTTCAGCTTCCTAACTTACTATAAAAGGGGAAAAGAGCAAATGAATCTACTCTCCTTTGACGGTTTCAGCTCAGAGTTTTCCTGGAGAAAAAGATCTTGGTAGCACAATATTGATGAATGCACTAGAAAGCTGAATGAATGCTACAGGAAGCATCCAGTAGAGTATTTCAACATTTTGTTCTGAAAAGTCAATGTGTGAGAAGCTAAAATGGGAATTGAGTGTGTCTAGCACGTGCTTGGGTGAAACCTGTGCCAGTTAAAGTTGTGGCTTTCATTGTTGGTAGTTCCATTCTTCATGAAGCGTTTTCATTCTAGTTTCAAGACATTTGTTAATTTGTTAATTTGACACAGGTGAATGGTGTCCATCCAGAATGCAGATTTCAGCTGGAAATTCACAAGGAGGAAACCAGGTGCATGGAACTTCTAAAGAATACAAAGCCAGTGGACTACAAGGGTAAGAAAACTGTAATGTAGAGATAACTGGAGTATTGAAGATTTTGTCTCTTACCTTCTTTACTGTTGTGATTGCAGTTCCTGTAGTTGCCTGAACTGTGCTTGGGATTTTACAGTTTTTAGAATTTGTGGAATTTTGGATTAAATGCACTACTGCAGCAAATTGTGCAGGTGCTAAGAACGCCCTGGCTGGGACACCAGCTGGGAGCACGCATGTTCTCGTGTGCTGAGATGTTGTTGTAGCATTTTCTGACTGGCAGAGCAGCTGTGATGACAGCACCAGCAGGAAGAGAAAATCTGAGGGAAAGCTGAAATCCTTGGGTCCAGGCATCTCTCCCTAGCTGTGGCTGAGAATAAAGTGCTAGTGGCAGGAAAGATCTCTGGGTTTCCCAAGTGGACAGTGTTTCAGACTGAAGACCAGATTCACACCTAGAGGACCATGGAGCAGTGCAAAGGGAAAACCAGGCAGTCGTGTTATGCCCAAAACTCCAACTCTCTCTGTAACATTATTGTTTTCATTTTCTTTCTGCATAGCAAGATAAATATATAGCTAGTGATAGAGCAAACGGAAATTTAGTAGAAGGAAGAAGAATACTAGATGTAGAGTTTTGTTTGGTTTTTGGGCTTGGGGGTTGTTTGGTTTGGGTGTTTTGTTGGGGTGTGTTTTTTCGGGTTTTTTTTTGTTTGTTTTTTTTTGTTTTGTTTTGTTTTGGTTTTTTTTAGATTTTATTAGATTTCCTTTCTACATTCTCATGGGAGGAGAAAAAACATTAATGGAAAAATAACAGTTTTCTTGTAAGTTGAAGCTGCTGGTAAAGCCACTTGTTCAGCAAGCGGAATAAAAAGGTGACAGATAAATTTAGATTGTCAATACATGGTTTATTTGGGCTTTTTGTGTTCATTTTGTTTTGAATACACTCTGATGATGACTATGGGACCTCAGAGACCTGCCATCTGCAGTGCTCTTTGAGCATAAACATGAGTCTCAACTTATGATGCTTTTTCCACCTCTGCTCAATTTAAATGTGTAACTCTCTTAGTGCATATTCTAATACTAATTTGTATTAAAAAAATTCAAAGGATCATCAACAGTTTGTATTTTATTATAATTTCTCCATTTTATTAATCAAGATCAGTAATTTTAAAAATGCAAAATCTTACTGGAACAATTAATCTAGATTTAAGGCTTTTATTTATATATGAGTGGTGAAGAAAGATGGCTGTTACATAAATAATACTAGTGCGAAGCCAGATGGAGAAATAATTAGTAGGCCAGCTTAATGAATTAAATCATGAACCAGTAAATTCCCTGTTAGCTGTTACATGGCTTTGAAAGTCGAGCTTTCCTCAAAATACACTTTTGTGATCCAGATGCTGCACTGCTCCAAGGGTATCTTTGTGATGCACACCAGTTTTATTTTGGCTTCCCTAGGGCAAGAAAGAAGTTTGCTGCCAGTATTTTCTTCCTAGCCTCTTTTCACTGGGAAATGGGTGCCTTCTGAAGGCAAACTGCTGTGAAAGAAGACTTGTGTCTTGGAAGGACACAGGATGTCTGATGGTGTTGATTCCACCCTGCAGACAGTGGCAGAACAGCAGTGAAAGGACTTAGACATTTTTTTGAATGTCTGGAATAAAGCCCCTGCTTTATGAAAACTGCATGTTCAATATTACAGGAGATTTTGTTCTATGCTTTCTGTTACAGGTACCCTCACCAAGCACCTCCAGAGAATAGCCTATGTTAAATATATGCATTTACATTTACAAAAATAGACATTCTCTGAGTGTACTTATTTTCCTAGTAAGCTCTCTGTAATCATACAAAGAAGTAAGGACTCTTTTGAACAGTAATACTCTGACTGCTGATAAAGTAGAATTACTAAAGAAAATTGACAAGCTGGAGCTAGTCCAAATTGTAGTTCCATGTGTAACTTGTAATACATTTGAAACATAATTCTTTACAATAAATTCCCAAATGCTATTTCACTTTTTCCTGAATGGGAAAGGTGGTTATACAGCCCTTCCCATACTTCTCTATGTATGTGCAATCTGACTTACAAAAGCTGTTAATAAAAATCTTGTGAAGGAACTGTCTTGATCTTGAAAATAAGGGTTCCCTGAGATTTTCCACAGAAGGCTTGGACCTCCATTATCAAAACCAGTGGGAATCTTTTCATTAATTTATTGGCACCTGGGAAACCTTTGCACCTCTATGTCACATGGTCCAGAATTTGGCTGGCGTGCACAGCTTCTGAATTCTGGAGGATCCAAATTGTGCAGGACAAGTCGTTTCTTCTTTGAACTAGATGACAATTATATATTAAATATCTTATCTTCTCAGCTCCCAGTTGGGAGGTAAAAAGGAAACAATTAAAAGGCTATTGGGTTTTCTTTGACATGATAAAATGATTTTACACCTGAGCTATCTCAAGACATGGGCTGAAGAATTTTGCTGAGTGATTTTTGCACGGCACCTAAAATCACTGGCTATGAAGCATATGAAGTACTTGTTTACTTCATGTCTTAATAAAACAGTAGCATGTTTTGCAAAGAAACATTGTTTAAAGACAGTGTAAGCATCATTTGACCAATGCTAAGGATAAGCTAAAACCAAGGGACCCAGTTGGTCTAAATTCTGCTCATTTGCCAATGCCAAACTGTGAGACACCCGAACCTCTTGCTTTGCACCCTTTGGGGGATTTTCAGGCATTAGCACATACTTTTCCATTAGTGGACAGCATTACACTCCATTTAGGAGAGAAGTCACTCTCCAAAGACCTGTGGCAGTGCTTTCTTCCCTGCAGTGCTCTTTAGAATATCTGGTTGTTTATTTTATGAAGACTGCATTAGCTTCTATCCACATTTGTTGCCTTCTTTCCTCCTATAATTTGGCCCCTGAGATATGGATGCACCCTAGCTGGAAGCCTAGGAGAGGTTCTTCTATCTTTGGGTACATTATTTTTGAAGGACAGACGAGTTGAGTTCTAACTAACTCATAATAGCTACAGATTTTGAGATCTAGATGGGAAAAAAAAAAAAAAAAAGGAAGTTCCCAAGAAAAGTGATTGAAAATACATAAAAATTGTCCTTTTGCAAATTTCTGCCTTTATTGAGTTTTTAGAATTTTTCCCTATGAAGTAACTGGCTCATTTCTCTTCATCTTCAAGTGAAAAAATGAAATCTTATGGTCAAAAATGTTAAAACTCAGGAGTTTTTAACAGGGTTCTACAACAAAAAGTTCTGAAAAAGATTTCATTATGAAAATAATGAAGTTTAGGGACTTTTGATTCATCTTGAACAGAGTGGCTGCACAGTTAAGTGTGTCTTTTTGGATTTTGATTTCTGAAACATGTTTTTGTGAGACCCACATGTCAGACAACATTTTTAATTTTAGATATCGCTTTTTAACATTGAGAAAGGGATGCAGACAAAAAGAAAAATGGCTTTGGAAAAATTTCATAAATCTCTCAAAGAGAAGCTTCATAATGCAGCTTCTAATAGGAAATTAAAAGAGACAAGACACCAAAATTATGCTCTTAGTTATTCTTAAGTTTAAAGCAAGAAGGACCAATATTGCTGTTTAATCCAATCTCCTGAATTGCACTGTCAATAGAATTTTCCTCAGTGATTCCAGCACCGAGCTCATGATCTCGTGGATGGAACAGAGCTGTTGAGAACAGTGGGATGTATATTCAAATGTCAGACCCATGGCACACTGCCCAGAAGATAAATCTATCTGACTAGCTTACCTGTTAAGGTTGTTTTTCCAGGAAGAAAAGTGCATATTTTGCATTTACACACACCCCCACACCTTTGTGTGTAATACACACACCTCTCTCTAGAGCTACACCAACGTGATCCCTCCATCCTCCATGTTAGTAAATAGGAGACTGACACAAAGCCAGATGAGGCCTTTCTTTTGCCACATGAAAAGGAATCTCCTCAAGGTTCCCCCTTTATTATGCTCCCTGTCTCATCAAGGTCTTGCATCAGGTTTTATTTTGTTTTGAAACTGTTTTCTCTGTAAAATGAGTCAGTACTTCAGACTGCAGTGGTGCTGGCAGTCCTCTGAGGCAGCATTCAAAGTAGAATTAAATGAGATGGTGGGGCCATGGAACTTCTTTCATGCAGCACCAGTAACTCTTGGAAGCACAACTTTAACTTTCTTAAATCTCTGTGCTGCTGCTTTTCCAGGTGTAGTACAGATATCTCGCTACTTTTTAGTTCACACTTTTTTTTTTTAAATGAAAGAAACTAAAGGGGCTGCTTTGGATATTTTAATGTTTTGGCTTTCACTGATTGTAGTGTCATCATTAATGACACCACATAAAACTGACCCTTACGGTATTGACAATGTCTGGCCTTTGTGGAACCTGTACTTAAACACTTGAGGGCAGAAGAGCAGCAGACCTCTCTGTCTTTTAAGGAGGCTGGGTGAGAAAGGTGAGAAAGAGCCTTGAATGAAATGAGTTGCCTACTGGAAAGTAACTAACTGTAAATAAAATGGTGAAGACCAAGAAAACATCCTGATTAGCCTCATTCAAAAATCTCACATAGTAAAATACAAAGAGTGACAATAACAAACACTTTAGGACAGACAAGAAGTACCAGGTGCCCAAAATTATTTTGAAGACATGAAATTTCTGCTCTACCCAAAATGTAAATAGAAATTGAGTAGTAGACATTAATAGATGGCATTTGCAGCCCTGAAGAAGGAAACTGCACATCCATAAATGAATTTATTGTGTTTTCCAGAAGATTCTGAAGAAAATACTGTCCAGCATAGTCTTGCACTTCAGTCCTGATAAAGACAGCTGTGACCATGGCAGTCTGTTATCCATGACATCCAAAGCTGAAATACCACAAGGAAGGAATTTTGGGTACCAAAACACTGAAAAAACTTCAGCTAATGCAACAAATAGCACATAGGTTAGACATAATACATATTAGCAGAAATATATGGTCCAACTTCTTAATAGAGACTTCTAATATTTTGTGGTGGGG